CAGTATCCTAAATTGTACATCAATAGGGGGACCAGAGGTCACCATATATTGTACCTCTGGTCCCCCTACTGATATACAAAATAAGGTGTCCTCTGGTCCCCCTACTGATGTACAATATAAGGTGACCTATGGTATCCTATCGATGTACATATAAGGTGACCTTTGGTCCCCCTACTGATGTTCAATATAAGGTGACCTCTTGTTCCCCTACCTATGTACAATATAAGGTGTCCTCTGGTCCCCCTACTGATGTACAATATAAGGTGACCTCTGGTCCCTTTACTGATGTTCAATGTAAGGTGTTCTCTTGTTCCCCTACAGATGTACAATATAAGGTGACTTCTTGTTCCCCTACTGGTGTACAATATAAGGTGTCCTCTGGTCCCCCTACTGATGTACAATATGAGGTGACCTCTGGTCCCTCTACTAATGTACAATATAAGGCGACCTCTGGTCCTCCTACTGATTTACAGTATAACTTGTCCTCTGGTCCCCCTACTGATGTACAATATAAGGTGTCCTCTGGTCCCCTATCGATGTACATATAAGGTGACCTTTGGTCCCCCTACTGATGTTCAATATAAGGTGAGCTCTTGTTCCCCTACTGATGTATAATATAAGTTGTCCTCTAGTCGCCCTACTGATGTACAATATAAGGTTACCTCTTGTCCCTCTGCTGATTTACAATATAAGGTGTTCTCTGGTCCCCCTACTGATGTACAATATAAGGTGACCTCTGGTTTCCCCACTGATGTATAATATAAGTTTACCCCTGATCCCCCTGATTACTTTAACGTTTCTGCGTATATATATATATATATATATATATATATATATATATATATATATATATATATATATATATATATATATATAAATATATTAGAAAGTTGACATGTATAAAGTTATAAATATGATTACTTTGGAGTAAGACAAAGAAAACTGTCTGTCATATAAAATTCAATCAATATATAAGGTGACCTGAGGTCTCCGTATTGATATCGATGAATTTACTTTTGTGCCTTTAACGCCTGAAGAGTTCCTAAAATGTGTTATTACTACGCAAATTGACGAACTATTTGCGGGAGACCCGAGGTCCTAGTTGAGCGTACGTTTTATCCTTCTGCGTGTGGAATAGGAATGCATTATTGTTTGCGAGATGTTGCTATGTGGGCTTTTAATTGTACCAATAAATCGGAACAAGACATGAGTATATATTTAAATTCTTACGCACCTGAAATTGAGGGAAATATGGACATTCAATTTAAAAAGAGATTGTTTTGAGCCCAATAAACACAAAACACTATAAATATAAGCGACATTTTACAGAGACCAGTTTAGGCTACATATTAATTAATTATAATAATTATTTCAAATTTCAATTGCATTTTTCAATTTGTCAGTTTAGGTTTTTGTAGCCACAATACTGTTTTGAGGGAAAGTTTTTTATTTTATTCTTGTTACAGTACTCGACAAGATCACACGAACCTGACGATTGGTTCATGTACTTTGCCCCTTCCCCCCTACTGAAAATAAAACTAACCAAAATATACATGAATCTCTTGTCCGTCATACCAATACTTCGATATTGTATATCTTCCTGTTTTGTCAAGTTTTATAGATTGGCCCTTTACATTAGAGCATGCACTCGGTATATATACATCACTGAACATTACGCTGTGCCAAGTCAAAAGTACATGTATTTCAGCGTAAACCTCTAACATGCTGGAGTAAAAAAAATACTAGCAATTTTCATATATTTTGAAGGATCAATCTCTAAAATTTGACTGACTAAAAACGGAAGGTGTGGTATAATAGACAAGGAATTGATTATCCGCCAAGTTATCGTGTCTAAAAAAAAAAAATCTCAGTTGGGATGGGGTATGTCGCGGAAATCCCCCCCCCCCCTCCTCTAAACCTGCGCATGATACAAGATGTGTATCTATCTCAGAAAATACCTACTCAAGAATGCATTCATTTACTTCCAGTTGTCCCTTTTCTAGAAAATTTTTAAATTAAAATTGTTTCCATTACATATCTATTCAAACAATAAAACCTCAGTGTTCATGCATGCAAGTGATTTTTCCTCAATTTTCTGCCCGCAGTTCTGTTTTCCTCCGGCACTTATTTTCTCTTGTGCTTGAAATAGTTACCACAAGAAAAAGAAGTAATTCTATTGATGAACGTTATTTTTAGCGATATTTGAACAGGAAAATAAAGAAAACAACGAAGTTTAAATTAAAGGAATATTGTAATTCTATCTCTTTAACCATTGTTTACAACATATATTATATACAAGTATATTTATTTCCTTGATATTTGACCTTTAAAAAAAGAGACTTAAAAATTGTGACTAAGAAAAAGTTTCAAATTGCTTCGCATAATCAATTATTTGACCTTTCTGCACTAATATAAAGTGATTTTTCTGGCATTGACAATTTAATAAGCAAGAAAATTATTTTAAAGTCTTAAACTTCTTCTGATTTTAAGCAAATAGGTCAAATTTCTCTTGAATATTTAGAAAAGAACATCAAAAGTGGGGGTATATGATGTAAATTTTCAGATATTACTAAAAAAGTGTCAATTTTACGTTAAAATTGGCTCAATTTTTTCCCGGATTTTCAGAATATATTTACTATATTTGTCACACTTTGTTGATAGAATTCATAAGAAATAATTTAATAGATATTTCAGAACCAGCAAAACACATTTCAATGCAAAAAAAACAGTTTTGTGTGCAACCAGGATTGAAAAATAGGAATAAAAAAATTAACAGTATTGTTATAGTTTAAAATGGATAAACTGATCATTTTTCTCTAAAAACCTTCTGCCACAAAATATAGTCCCTAGCTTAACTCGAACTTGAATGGAATTTAATCGCGGTTTTTTCATTAAATATAGTTAAATTTGCACTGTAGAATTCAGATTTATTGTTAGAACTTAAAAATGATGCAGAATTTTACAAATAAAAGACCTGACCAAAATACGCTCAAAATCTCAGGATCGAACGTCCTTAATAACATTTTCATTGCATTTTCATTAAAATATACCTCTGTTTTAAAAAGAACGGATAAAATGACGGCTGCATTTGACGGAAAACCATCAAAAACCATTTCGCAACTGCCATAATCTTTCAGCCAAGTTCATATCATATTTCTACTCATTATCATTTGTAAATTATGTTTTAAGCTGGCGAAATTGAATCAAAATTCAGTTATAAATCACTTTAAAAAATACATTTTATTGCCTAGCTAAATTATTTTGCATTATAAAAAGTGACGAAATTTTGTGCGAAAACACATCTGAGTTTAAAAAGTGCGTATGCGCGGAGCTGTATTTATAATCTATGCTTTTGTCATTACAAACAGAGCAATGGAACCAGAAACATGGAGATTCAAAACTCCGCTTAGACAATATGAGGGATAGCGATTGTCCCTGGAAACTAAGGCTATACAATAACTTGATCAAAATATGACATGAACTTTAGAGTACACAGAGATTAATGTCTCAAAAATAAGGCTATAAAATATGTTAATGAAAATTAAATAAATTTTAATTTTGAGCTAAGTGAGTTAAAAGGTAAGTGAATCATTGGATCTTATGACTTTTGTGATCCGATCACGCACTATGAGTTTCAGGTTTTTTTAAGGAAGTCAAAGCAATGACGCACATAAAAAGTTGGTGATATAAATAAAAGTTGCTGTATAAAACAAATTTATTTAACAGATTAAGGTGGATAATGGTTATTAAGTTCTTTTTTAAATGGGTTGATTAGATATGAGGAAAGTATAAGAGAATTCTTCATTTTATCTAAATAAATTATATAAACAATTGCATAATACAACTGTAAATGGATTGGTTATTAAGTTCAGTAAAGATTCTTGACGCGTAAGATTGATTGAATGTATGATGTTTTACGTTCCCTTCCAGATTTTTTCACCAATATGGCGACATATTTTTATTATTATTATTCTATTATTGGCTAGAGATTGTATTGCAATATATTGCGATATGTTTCATTGTATTGCGATATGTATTGCAATATTTTAAATGAAAATAAAATGGCATTTTCTTCTTATATTAACTTTAATTAATATGCAGAATGAACATAACTATTATAAGTAACCCCCCCCCCCCCAAAAAAAAAAAAAAAAAAAGCTGTTCATTTTTGTATAGCTGTGCTCTGAAATAGACCAATAAAACAGCTTCTGTCTTACTGTTTGGCTTTATAATAAACCTTTCTAACTTTTATATTTATGTTTAATATTAAAAACTCCTTAGTATAAGCATTTTGACGATATATCTATAGTACAAAAAAGTATTGCAGTACGATAATTTTTGTCAATTTGTTGCAATATATTAAAATATCGATATTTTTGTCCAGTCCTACACATTTTATAAATGCTTCTAATTAGATATGTACCAATCAAAAAGGGCTCTTGAGCAGTGAGTGATCTTCATCGTGCGTTTTGAGGTTTAATATTTACAATTGCAAATATCTTTCTTACATGAATCTATTGAAAAGAAAATACGTTCAATTCTGTGTGAATTTCATTTGGGGGTCAGAGGTCATAGCGTGACCGGATTACAGAGCGATGATATTTTGACCAAACAAACTCTAGGATATTGCGCTTCACTACATAGCAATTCGTTGGCCCGAATGTAAATATAAGAAATAAACAACAATGTTAAAAAGTTCACTGGGAAATGAACTTTTAGTTGGTACGTGATCAAATCTTCGGGCTTCACAACAGGATTTGATCACGTAATATTAATAAAAGTTCTTTAAACGTTTCATTGATGGAACAGCCACTGATTAAGAAATCTGTGCAGGTGACATGCCTACTGTAGTTTACTATGTAAATATCTACCATTGAACTTTTTAACGTTGTTGTTTATTTCTTAATTAATCCTCTGTTCATTCATATGAAATGTTTTTTGAAACTTCCTGATTTTCCAAAAGGAGTGTATTTGATACGTAAAATACAAATAATTCTATTATGGCTTGAGGGGAAAAATTGGACAAAAAAGGACCCTACAACTTGAAAAATCCATAAAGGAATAATGAACATTGATATCATTAAGATTTGTCTCCCTTATCAGAGTATCAATGAACTTTAAGATCTTTTGTAAAGGTCCCAAGACTTTCATTCGAAAATGCCGAATGCTCAGCGAAGGTACAATTCGCAACAATTGTTATCACCTAAGATTAGGATTGAGGTCGAGTCCAAATATTTTTGAACATATACTTAAAAAAAATGAATAAGTAAAGGAAACAAAATGAATACGAATACAAACATCAGCCTAATGAATGTTTAGATAGCAATGCAATGGCTTGGCGCATTTAAAATGCATATAGAATTATATGAGATAAGATATCTATATGATAATACAGCATCATGTAATTTTCAGCATTAGAGATGTATTTGGTCAATCATTCTTTTTTTCGCAAATAAAAATATGTTTGTTATTACAGTTTTCAACATCCCAGTATCCGGCATTACAAATACGGACGCAGTCTTTCGAAAAAATATTTTGAGTCTGAACCTCGTTGAAATCATCAAACGTGACATTAGTATGAAAATTCCAAGTAAAAACGCCCTCAGTATGAAGATCTGTGGCCCCAATCCAACAATCACAGCAATAAGACGGGTCTTGACAATCTGAAAAAAATAAAGACAATGAAATAAAAGATAAAATATATATTTATAATGCTAAAATAAATGACAATTATAACCCATATTCAAGCAACGTCCAGGAATATGGGATTTTATCTCAGTGAAACATGTGCATTGTCCATTTAAGATTGAGTATGTGCTTCGCGGAATAATCCGGGTTGCGCATACCAGTTGTTTTGTTAGAAACGCCACAGTGACTATATATACATGGTATGCATGGTAACTCCTCCTTTCTAAGATAGGAGAAGAGAACATGGGTATGTTGGTTCAGCCAATAGAAAAATTTCAATTTTGGATTTATATTTTAACAAGATGCCCAGGGGCCACAGCGCTCAACTGAGCACATCGGGCTTGAATTTACTCCCCCCTCCCCCCCCCCCTCCAGGCGTTCATCATTTGAACAAACTAGAATCTACACTACCTGAGGATGATTCCATATAAATATCACTAATCATAGCTTTGAAGTACTTGAGAATGAAGATTTTCTTTACAAGATTTTTTTCCTGAGGTACATTTATTAAGATATTCCTATGATTTTTAAGAACTCCGTAAAATGAAATCGGCCATTTTGGCCCCACCCTAGCCCCCGGGGTCATGATTTGAACAAACTTGAATCTACATTACCTGATGATGATTCCACATGATTTTGATCTTTCCTGGCCCAGTTATTCTTGAGAAGAAGATTTTTAAAGATTTTTCCTATATATTCCTATGTAAAACTTGGGTCGGCCATTTTGGCCCCACTTTTGCCCCGGGGGTTATGATTTGAACAAATTTAAATCTACACTACCCGAGGATGATTCCACATGAGTTTCATTTTTCCTGGCCCAGTGGTTCTAGAGAAGAAGATTTTTAAAGATATTTCCTATATATTCCTATGTAAAACTTGGATCGGCCATTTTGGCCCCACCCTAGCCCCCGGGATCATGATTTGAACAAACTTGAATCTACACTACCTGATGATGATTCCACATGACTTTGATCTTTCCTGGCCCGGTGGTTCTGGAGAAGAAGATGTTTTAAAAATGCCATTAATTTTTAACAATTTCATGATTATCTCCCCTTGGAAAAGGGCGTTGCCCTTCATTTGAACGAATCAAAATCCCCTTAACCCAAGGATACTTTGTGCCAAGTTTGGTTGAAATTGGCACAGTGGTTCTTGAGAAGAAGATGAAAAAACTGCGAACTTTTTGAATATTTCAAATACTAGTCAATCAATTCTAATATTTTTTGCATGCCATTGGAAAATGATATATCTGTTATTTTGTCAGAAAGTATAGGCCTGTGATGTTTTATGAACATATAATCAGCATTTAAAGGGTGTTAAAATCGGTGGTTGGCGCACGATATTTTTTTGACTTTACAAATAGCATTTTCATTGAAGTTTTCATTGTTATCAGACTTTTAGCCTATACTGAAATGTAATCTCACAAGATCTACCTACACAAATACTCTATAATTTAGGCTACTCGTGTGAAAAAAACTCAAGTATTTGACATCTATGACGATATGTGTCAAAGCACTTTAATTTAGACATTGATTAGGATTGTGAAATTGTCTATTTCAGAATTCACCCCGCAATCTTATGGGAATAATACTATTTGAGATATACAGCTTCATAACTAAAACAAAATTAAATACAGTGCCGAATTTGTTTAATTTTATTAGATGCATAGTTTCCAGAAAGAATTCACAAACTCTACGAGATACGTTCTGACGTCGTCAGGGTTGCGCCGACAGTTGATTCGTAAGATGCTTTTACATAAGAATTATTTATAGGGATATTTCATTGAACTTCTTAGGCATTATCAGAAAATGTTGATAAAGACGCAATTTTTTCATTCATAGTCTTAGTGAAAGAAAAGATATTGAAAATGTTCGGCGTTTTGGGGGACAAGCCTCGTATTATAAGGAGAAAAAAATGTTTCCAAATAAAACGTAGAAACTTACCATTTTTTCTGTCAGAGAGAAAATTATACTGGATCCAATGAGTTTCCGCCGTTGTTTCAATTTCTACAAGGTGGGCACCATGTTTTTCGCAAATATTCTACAATATTTTTATTATAACATGAATGATATAATCAAATAAATAAAATGTTTTTGACGTGGAATTTTGAATTAAGCTCCCGAAGGAACTTTTACGTATCTGTCAATTGAAGCATATTATCAGCTTTTTAATGAAGGAAAATATTTCACACGTAATTTCACAAATATAATTTTGCATTAATTATTCTCGATTTACAAGGCAAAAAGAAAAACAGTCTAAAGGAGGACAGTTAAAAGAACAGAGAATAAATCTCTCTTTCAACTAAAATATTATATAATTTGGGATAACATTTTAACAATTAAAGAATAGTCTTTTCTAAGCTAAAATGTTGTTTTGTGTTTTAAATACATGTAGCTAATTAGAGGGGAAAAACGTTAAAAGCAAATAAAGATGATAATTTGAATAATAATAATTTTAGTGAGATCAATTCTTTTTTACAAAACATAAACAAATGCATCTTTAATTTCATAGATTCATTTTTTCACTATTGGGCCAAGATAAGGATTTAAATGGGTTTTGATGCGAAAAGGAGAGTTAGATATTGGAACAGAAAATAGCTAACATAAAAAAAAATCATGGATGCAGTATTCATGCATTTATATTTGAATATACCTATACAAAAGTTATCAAGTCAGTATAGAATTTCAAAATGACAAATTTGAGAAGAAACAGAAGTACACGTAAATTATCCTACATATTCACTCAAAATGATGTTAATCTTTTATATTGTTATTTTTTAAATCAATTACTTGAAACCGAAAGCAAAACTTTATCCAGACTGAAAAAAATAGGATTTTCAGGTAAAAACTACATTAATTTCATTATTATTTTTTTTAAAAGGCATATGTCATTATTGAACGAATTCCCCTAACACACTCTCCTAAAGATTTTTTTTTCTCATACGAGGGTCATACACCCTCGTATTATTATTTTGAACAAAAAAAAAATGATTACACTATAATTTGGAAGTGATGTTGACAATAATGCTCATCAATTCACGTCTATGAGGAGGGGAATAGCAATAACCCTATTTGTAAAGAATTCACAGGACAGTTTAAAAGATATAAATATAAATGATTCAGACCCCTGGAAAATCCCCGGGGCGACCCATATGAAAGACCAATTCAAAGCGCGCATTCTGAGGCATGCAGAATGATGCAGAGTTAACTGCGGCTAAAATTTACTCGCACTGAGTCATGTTTCATTTCCGGTAATAGATTACGCGTAAACTTTAGATGCTTGAGTTGAATAACAATATGACTAATACAAAATAAAATATTTATATCTAAATTTGTTGTTATAAACTATTTTATTTTCCCATAAAATGAATTATATGTTACCTTGGCATTGCTCCAAGTGTCCACAGTTTCATTCAGAAAATAACAATGGCCATCATAGGGAACCCAGTCTCGTGAACAAACTGAAAGAAGGTGGAAAACCACATTTATTTCAACCATAGAGAAAACACTTTAAATTTAAAATAAAATCAACACTGTTTATATATATCTCTAAATCTTAACCAATTAGTCTAGGGATTGGTATCGCCAAAAATTTCGCACATCCATATCATTTACCCCCAATTTCGATGTTTTTTTTCTGAATATTTAAAATAACTTTGACCTATCTGCTTATTTCAACAAATTGTTAGACTTTGAAAAAAAAAATTTCTTGCTTATTTAATTTTCAATGTCAGAAAAATCATGTCTATAAGTGCAGAAATGTAAAAAAAAAAAAAGATTAGGCAAAACATTTGAAATTTTTTTTCTTAGTTACAATTTTTAAGTGCCTGTTTTAAATAGACTTATGGTTTATTTTGTTCCACGCTTTATTTCGATAAAAGTATTGGAGGGAAAACATCGAAGATGTTATTTTTGATTAAGACACATACATTTCATTGCAAAAGGGTCATATCAAATATACTGTGGCGCCAAACTTAGAACTTCGAAAAATATGTATGAAACACAAATACTGGGCTTTGATTTTTGTAATAACATTTTTTTTCATTTCTTTTGGACATCTGATGATCATGACGCCTTTCTCGGAATAATTTTTCTCAAAATTTTGAAGAAACGTTCAATTTAATAAAATTGAAATATTTCCTCCGGGAAAAAGCTCAATAATTTACAAAGAAAGAGGGGTGGCAGTGGCCATGTTGCTAATCTAAGCAACAATAAATAGATAACTGTACTTTGGCCAATGAAATCTACATAAATCAAAAACCTTTACAGTAATATTGAAACATTATAAAATGCATATTATTTATTTTTTCATCTTAATGCTTATCAAAGGTATGTTTGAATAGAATATTGAGCGGAAATTAATACGAGAGGTTATCAAATAGTTTAGAGAGAAAAGGAATGCGCAGTTAATGTTGATTTGTTGTCAAAATGTGAAAAATCAATCACGTCAAAATGACATTGATCATGTGTTGAAGATATTGAACTCCAAAAAGCAAAATATGCGGACACAATCAAGCGTGGATCTCTACCTTTTTATAAATCCATTTGCAATATTATATGCATTAAAAGCCGCTGTTCATGACATTTTAAAGTCATATAAACAGGGGGATCAAAATCTAACTCAGCTCCAGGGAATCTGATCAAAATAAGTGTATGAGGTACAAGAAGCAGATATTGAAAAACAATGACGTTATCGGACGTCATAAAACTAATCGGCGACGGTGCCGGGTGATGATATAATGTCGTTTTTATTTTATTATAATTTGGGAAATAACGAACATATCAAGCTAAAAATTTGAACATTTCTTTAATTTTTGTTGTTTTTTGTTCCATTAAAATTTTGTAAGCTTAGACTACATAGTACTAATTTTATAGCCTCAGTTCACGAACTTTTTGATACTAGTAACCCCTTTTAACCTTTTAAACATACATGTAACATAAATATAAAATACAAATACATGTATATTGTGAGAAAAAAATATTTTCAATTAGCATTAAACATTGAACCCATTTCTTGCACTGCTAAGTGTCAAATGTAAAACGTCTATATGTCAGATCCTGAGGTGTATCCGTTACCAAAATGTTGTCAAACTGGCTTCAAATAATTATTTAACAAGGTTTAGATTTGCAAGGAAATTTTACCAAGCCATTCGAATTTTTTAATGTTTCAACTGTGTTCAATAAACCAGAAGTGAAAAAGAAATCATATAGAAAAGATGATCATTACGTATCATTACGTACTGGTACCTGCCGACAAAGCAGGTAAATACATTGTCTTCGCTTGTAGGGTTAATTATATAAATAATATTCTAGAACAACTTGGATTTCATTTTTTAAAGTGTTTATCCTACGTATACTCATACTTCCCTTTCTAAGGAAGAAATTCTTCAAAAGTATGTCACTTTTGAATATTTTTAATATTCCACAGAGCCAAAATGAATTTGAACTACCTTATTTATATTGGATTCCAACAAATCATAAGAATCATTATGAAGATACATTGCAGGTTCCAGTAAATGTTCAACCAAGCCTCTTTCGTTACTTCTCACTAATACTGATAATGACTGTAGTGAAGGAAAAAATTCAAGCGTACTGTAAAACTGTATATTCTAGAAGTTGTGTGAATCAGATCTGGAGACAAAAGAACTTTTGGACAATTTGAAATCACATGATTTTACCAAAATCTACAGCTTAAAAACTTACGACTTTTAAACTTTATACACAACCATTCCCCACGATAACTTAAAATCCAGGCTTTTTGATATCATTGACAGCTGTTTCGTCAATAAAAATGGAACTTGTAAATTTACTTACCTGTTAATTGGTCATTTACAAAATTATTTTTTAAAAAAGATTCTGATTGCACACACAAGTACTCTTAAGTTGACATCAAGAATGTGCTTGAGTTTCTCAATGGCATAATCTATGTGTTTTTTGGAGACTAGGTCTTCCAATAATCTACTAGAATTCCCTTGTACGAAAGCCCAGAAGAATTGGAGAAGTTTCCAAATTTCGAAATTCGACAAAATTCGAAATTCGAGAAATTCAGTTTAAATTTAAACGAACCAATCAAAAGCGGGTTCAACATTTGATATATTTCCCTTTATTATGTTTTTACTATCAAGAAATAATTCAATATAATTATATCAAATGGGTCATTTCATTAAATTACAATGCAAGAAAAAGTGTTATATATATTAGAGGGAAATTTAAATAATTAATGGATTTTTGATCCGCAATGAATATTTCAATTTATATTATAGATTCTTAAATATTAAATAGATAACATATATCAGGAGTATATAATTATATTTTTTTTTGATGACAAATTAAAGATGGTCGGTTATATGATATGAAAGTTCGAAGTCGCTGTGCGTTTCTCGGAGTTAAAACAATTTAAATAAAAAATATTTAACAATTTTGTTTGTATTCTCGCCTCTCATTGGTTTAATTCCATAAAGGAAAAAAAATTTTGTATAATCTTATTTATGGGGACACAACGACCAAAAATCATATCCATGCAAATTTCCAGGCCTCGGAATCCATGGAAAATTCCAAATAAAGGCAAATTTAATAAATGTACCTTCAACTTTACACAATTACTCGTTCTTACCTCGTGTAAACAAACATCATGGCTGCTAATCTTTGTATCAGTTATTTCCCCTCGCTTCAAATCAATTTTTAATTGCCGGTAAATTTGAACTTATAAAAAGCAACACAATTTTACATCAAAAGTTGTTTAATTGTTTTAAAATTAAATTTCCACGCTTTATATTTCGATAAAAGTATTGGTCAGTTTACGCTTTTTTATAATCCGCTTCGCGGATTTTTGATTAAGACACATACATTTCATTGCGAAAGTCATTCATTAATATAATAGTATATTACTTAAGGTTAAAGAAAAACGCACAATAAACATAAAATTAAAAATTCTTATGTAGGTAAATAACACAAATACTTAGAAATTTGATTTTTGAAAATTAACATTTTTTTTATGTATATTACACAATTTTATCTCTATTCAAACGGATTTGTTGTAATAATTTTTTAAAATTTTGTACATATGTACACATATAAAATTTTGAAAAATAAAATGTAAATTCATTAAAAGACTTAGCAGGCTACAAAATTTACAAAGATTTGGCCCTTAGCAGGGGAGGATAATGCACGTTTTACAATGTGCTAATCTAAGCTACAACTCAAAGAGAAGAAATGAAGTGGCGGATGTAGAGGGAGTTTAGTTTTTTTTGATACCAACATATTTGCTGCATTTTTATTAAATTAAATAAATCAAAAACCTTTTACAGTAAATTGAAACAGTTATAAAATGCATATTATTTATTTTTCATGCAATGTAAGCTTTTAAAGATATATATTGAATGGAATATTAAAAACAGACCACCATAAGTTGCTTCATAAAAGGAGGTTATCAAATACAGTCTTAGAGAGAAACAGGAATGGCAGTTAATGTTGATTTGTTGTAGCCTTAAAATGAAAAAAAACTGAAAAATCAGAATAATCAACCAAAAAAAAAAAAAAACAAAACAAAAAAACACTATTTGATCACTGTGAAAGAAAACTGTTTACGGAAAAAACTCCAAAAAGCTAAGACAAAATCAGTGGCAGATTTAAGGATGTACAACAATCAAAAAATTCCTGTCGTTTAATTTTCGTTATTTTTTATAAATACATGACTAATCTACTTATATGCATATTTTAAAAGCCGAGTGGTTTTTGACAGGAATTTTAAAGTCATGTTTACAAGGAGAGAAATTTTTTAACAATGAACTACTTAAACCTTGATTTTCAAAAAAACCAGGTTAGATATAAATGTCAAATTTCATTGGTATTCTTTTAACCATTTAACACAAAAAAAGATATCTTTTTGATATACATATCATCAAAACAATTTTTAAAGACCTTAATCTGAAAAACTATGAATTTTCTAAGCCTTGAAAATTGCGTATTTTTCAGTGAAAAAACCTGTCGTTTAATGATATAATGTAGCTGGTTTTTATTAATATTAATAATTTTTTGTATAATTTTTGTACGACCACATTTAAAGCGGAAAAAAATTTAAAACATTTCTTTAATTTTTGTTGTTTTTGTTCACATTTAAAAAATTTTGGAATATTGCTTTTGCTTAAAATATGTTAACTTACAAATTTAAAAGTACTAATTTTATAGCGTATTTAAAGTAGATTTTTAGGCAATTTTTGATACTATCAACCCCTTTTTAGACCTAGCGTTTGACGAAACGTTTACAGTAAATAAATATAAAATACAAATACATTGTTTTTATATTGAATGCAGAATAAAAATACTCTTTTTCAATTAGCATTAAACATTCCATATAATGCGTTATGCATTCCATTTCTTGCACTCCTGAAAGTGTCGAATCAAGTTTTGTTAAAACTTGAATATGTTATTTTTAATTTTATTTCTTTAATTTTATTCATTAAAAAA